AGTACCACGCCTGTCACACGCAACAGCGTTTAACATAGGATTGAACATCTACTGCAACCGGTCGTGTGACATGCCAAATCACATCATCACATGTCCTTTCATGTCATGAGCTATCACATCATATCAAGTCATGTCATATCATGTCCTGTCACGCGACGGGTTGCTTCAGTAGGTCCTCAATCCTCTGTTAAACCCTGTTTGGTGTGACAGTCGTGGTACTTTCGGTACGTTCGCCACTGGTACTTTCAATCTGTCACTTCTTGCGACTTCCGAAGCCTGGATGCAAAAAAAAGGGTACAGAATCCACAGCACCGACGACAAGTTCAGCAACCCTGCGTTTTTCCAATTTTTGCTGATCTCCGAAAATGAGGCATTGATGCACACGAAGTTTCGGCATGCACGGTGCAAACCGAACTGCCCTCAAATTTTCAGGGCTCAGCAACACCCCAGCGAGGAAGTTTTAGATTACACGTGACGAGCCTACAGACTTCACTAGGATCGGTCTCTCCATGAGTTTGACAGCTAATTCCCAGGGTCACGATGAGCCGGCGGATCTCGGAGTTTTGTTCAGCTGCTTTCACAGGCTTCTTGTCAGATTCTGGGCTCGAGTGTTTGTGTGGGAGGTTTAACGCTGTTTTGCCCTGCAGTGCAGAGCCCGACTGCAAGAAAAGATGGAGATATCGCAGGGTTTCGAACGGATCCACAAGTGTAGAGTTTGAGCCTTTCCTAAGTGAGGCTGCACCCTGAAGACTGCTTTCTTGACACTTCTGCTACTTGCGTTCGCAACACCTCCTGCTGTCACATGCGCATCAGCACCAACTTCCATCTCAAAGCCAAAGCCCATAAGCCTAAACCCATTTGGGCTGCAGAATGTTTTGCTCGAGATGCCCAAGGCATGAAGCAGTTCTGCGCCGGAAGTGCCGGCCACAGATTTTCAGGTCGGACCGACCCCCATGGCCATGGAGCCACAATGCCCCGTCCCTGGCCGACCGCAAAGCCCCATGATTGGCTGGGCAGCTGTCGTGCCTGTCCAGCCGGAGGAGAACCCCACAAGGCTCCCGGAAGATGCGCGGAGTCCGGATGGGAGTCGCGTCGGTAAGATGCAATCCTGGGCTGGCCTTTCACGCCGGCCATCTGAGATCTTTGGCCCCGATGCTCCGGAGGCATGCGACTCCGTCGGCAAGCTGTTCTCTTATGACCCCAACTTCAGTGTGAGCCTCATGGATCTAAACTTGATCATCGTCGGTACAGGGCCGGTGTCCACGGAGCTGTTGCGCCAGAGGCGACTTGCAGGTGGCCGGGCATGTGTGCTTTGGACCGAGCAGATGCCAATTCTCTCAGACACGGCCGCTTTTAACCGACACCCGTTGTCTGAGCTTCGTAGCAGCGTCTTCCATCTTCGCAACTTCTGTTGGCAGCCGCCAAGCATGAGTCGCACCAATGTGCGTGAAGTCGAGGCGCTCAGGGCGGCTTACAGATGCTGGCCGTCTGCAGTGAGCAGGCAGGGACCCGACATAGTGACTTTGCATGAAGACCAGATCTATTCTATCAGTCAGGACCTTGACGGTCGTGCTTGTGGTATAGAAGTCCTCGACGGGATTTCCGGGACCCTGCTCTGGTCTATGTCTGGTGCTGTTGTCTTTGCTGGAGATGCATTTGCTGGCGTTTTCACAGCTGCTTGCGACACGATCCATGTCGCAAGTGAGCTAGATGTGAGTGTGCGCCTCGAGGATGCGAAGCCCTTGACCATGATGAGTACCTGGTCTTGCTTGTGGACTTACCTGTACAGCTTCGTGCATTTGACCACTTACTGCTCAGCCATGCGTGTCTTCGAACCTCTCAACACGGCAGAGCAGTTGCCCTGGTGGCGCTGCAGTTTCACCGTAGGGCTTTTCCCGTACGGGTTTGCAGCCTACTGCGTATACTGGGGGAATTGCCTTGCAGGCACCAAATTTCCGCTGGGAATGAAGATCGTGGGCGGTTTGGTGGCAAGCATCCTATTTACTGTTTTCGCTTTCACCTCGAGGGATGGATCCGGAGAGTACCGACCAATCTTCACGGTGGTTATCGGAGGTACAATGTCATACATCACGGTGTCAGCAGTCATTCATGGCGTCTGGTGCAGGCTTTGGGCACGCTGTGAGTCTTCCTCGGAGAAAGAGTCGGATAGCAGCGAGGTCAGCAGTGAAGAGGTGAAGCCAGTTACAGTTCACAAGCTAAGTCATTTGTTGTGGGCGTGCGCCCATTTCCTCCTTACATTTGGTAGCTGGATGTTCCTGTACATGATCTCCATGGTGTTCTCGCGGCTGAATGATACCTCTGCGGTTGGCGCGGCCTTGTTTCTGACTCTTGCCACGAATCTGACCGAAAAAACTGTGAGCTTCATGACTACGTCGCTATACACTGGCCTTGTTTACAATGTTCGCTGCCGTTCGGGCGAGAAGCACATTTTAGGCGATCAGAGGAGGCACCTGATGAAACCTGTTGCGCTAACCCATGCCTTCTGCGAGAGCACTCGCCTCATCAGCTTGCTTTCCGTCACCATGCAATATGGTGGATGGTGGTGGTCCTTCAACCTTGCGCTCAACCTGGTCACGAACGTGCTCGAGCGCAGCTACAGCTCCTTCAGTTTCCTGACCTACCTGTGCCCCGGCCTGTCCAGGTTAATTTTGCCTGGCATCAGTATGGTGTTACATCAGGAGGCAAAGCTTTTGTCAGGATATGCTCAATATGTGTCCGTCGTGGCATATCTGACGGCAGATTGCATCACGGGCAATTGGGCCACATCTGCTTTCAACTTTGAGTCCATATGCCTCATCATCGCATCTGTGGTCGTGGAGCTCGCGGAGGACTTGGTGATCAGTGTAGGGATCAAGCCGAACAATTTCTGGCGCAAAGCTCTTCAAGAAGACTATGCTGCGCAGCCAATCCTGCACCCGCGGCAGATCCTCTGCATCGACCAGGTGGGGGTCGCTTGGAATTCGCCACCGCTCTCTTTGCATGGCACTGATAGCCTGGACTTCTGGGAAGTGGCGGCATTCATGCTTCCGGCAACTTACTTCTCCCTGGTATTGATACTCGGTAGGCCCCTGGCAATTTTTTGCATTTCCCTCGTTTGGTTGATGAGGATCTTACTTAACAGCAGACGAGTGTTTCTGTTCAAAAGCTTGCATGGGCCAAGCTAGGATGAACTTGCTTCTGGGTGCTGGCTACATGCATGGAGTTTGCCCAGAGCCTCTACCGGCAGAGATGCGCCTTTGGGATGGGCTTACTTGGACCAACCCGCTACGATGTGCGTGAGGTGAATGAAGCCTACGCCTGGGCATGGCCCTAGACTTTTCAGCTTTGCAGGAGACAGGGCTGCATGGAAGCCTCAGGCAGCGGCAGCTCCGTCCCCCTCTCGGTCAATGATGAATTCGCTTTCCACGGTTTTCCATCTGGAGCATCTCGAGGCGTCTGTTAACAGATGTAACATCATGATTGTTTGCTGTAGGTTTCTCTGCCACCTTGATGGGTAGTCTGAGCTAGAGGTTCAGCGACGGCTAGATGGACTTGTCGACTGCTTTGTTGATTGAGCATGGTGGAGTTCGCCTGAGTTGTTTTTCTACTCTCATGAGAGATGTTCTTCCAAGACCTGTTGTCCGTGGAACTTTGCTAGTGGATTTTTATCGGGCCGAGCTTGACAGTCTGACAGTCGTGCCAGTCTGACAGTCGTGCGTGGAAAAGGAAGGCCTGTGAATTTGCATCTGGCAATCCTGGAAAGCTGCAGTCTCCACATTCTCGGCAGCTTGTGCTCCACTGTGGCCCCCGGTGGAAGCTTATGCTTCGATGGGTTTCAAGTCTAATCAGATCAAGCTTTTTCACATCTCGGGAAGAGCATGTGAGAGTTCAAAGCTGGCCCCTAGAAGCCTTACTTGGTTTCGCCATGTCGTACTTGTTCCAAGAGACGCACGGGTGATGGATAGCAACAAGACGACTTAAGACCACGAACAAGCGTCTTTGCTTGAAGAACGGCAAATCGACTGTCTTGGCCCTAGCTCACCAGAGCCCAGTCCTCAGACCGCAACTTCCTTTCAGAGCCGAGGATGGCTTGGACGCAAGCTGTATTGCATGGTGGAGCAGGCAGGAAACCCCCTCAGTACGCAAGCAGGCGTTGGTTTCCATAAGCCGAGAACCGAAACGAAATTCGAAAAGTCAAACAGTCGAAAAGTTTTCGACTTTTCGGATATTCTTGCACTTTTCGGACTTTTTGGGCTTTTCGACTTTTCGGGTTGTCTGGCACTTTTCGGACTTTTTGGGCTTTTCGACTTTTCGGGTTTTCTGGCTTTTTTAAAATTGTTTTTTGTGCTTCTCGGCTGTTTAACTTTTCGACTTTTCGGGTTGTTTGGCACTTTTCGGACTTTGTGGGCTTTTCGGCCCTTTGATTGTCGACTTTTCGGGTTTTCTGGCACTTTTCGGATCGCCTGTTCGGGTTTTCTTGCGCTTTTCGGACGTTTTGGGCTTTTGTCTGGCACTTTTCGGACTGTTACGCTTTTCGACTTTTCTTGCACTTGTGGGACTGCGTGTTTTTCGACTTTTCGGGTTCGGCTGTTCGTTTCGGGCTTTTCGCGTTGTTTCACTTTCGTCTATTTTCTTGCCTTCTCAGTTTTTTGGTTGTACAAGTGTTTGATTGGGCACTAGCTGACTCGATAGTCACACGATCGTTCTTAGACTCAGTCATAGTTTCGAGTGTCGTGGTTGTAGCTCGTTCGGGCCTTCCTGCTTTGGCCGACGGTGGGTATTTCTTGCCTTAATTAGCCAGACGCACCACTAAGCAAAACAGCCGACCCGTACCGCTCGGGCATTGGCTGTCAAAGGGCTCATGTTGAGTCAGGCCTGCTGTGCGGCAGTCGCAATGTCATTGCTACACTTAGCCTTCATTGGTTTTATCAGCCATCTAACGAATTCGTTAAGCCGGGCGCACCACTAAGCAAAACAGCCGCTTCAGCGTTTGGCGGTTGAAAGGGCGTTGTAGGCTTTCCTATTGTTTAAAAGAGCTTGAGTTTTGAAACGAGCTTATTGGGTTTGTTCGTGTCAGTGACTTTGTGTAGCTCTTCAAAGGTCTTCAACGATGGGGATCGGAGGGCTTCCTAATGGTATTCCTCAAGCTCCTCGAACGATCATGCCCCGAAGCATGTTTCACATCGCTACGGCCCCAAAATTAGTAGTTTCTGCGAGGATTCGTACATTTAGTTAACTAGATTCTTCTGTTGGTTCTACTTGGGTTTAACCCTGGCTGTCTTTGAAGTGTTTATAAATGTCACTGGGCTTGGAGTTTGGGGTTTAAGGCTTAGGGGTGTGGGGTTTAGGGTTTACGGCTGGAAGCTGTCAAAGGCATGAATCATAGCAGACCTCCTGCAGCGATGAAACAATATAAAGCACGCCCCATAACACCAAAACCCCAAATCCTCCAATCCTCCAAGCCTTAACCCTGAAACTCCAAACCCTAAACCCTAAACATCCCCAAAACCAGCCTTTAAGGCATTCCAACCAAGCAAACCAGTGCGGACAAAAACAAAAGAAACATCCCCAAACCCCTAAACTTACGACCTCTACTAAGATCTCATGTTTGGCCTTTTCCTTAAAGGATTGCTTCGCGGGTTCAAGCTTCCGTCCAGGAATCCGAAGGGGGTTTACGGTTTCAGGGTTAAGGGTTGAGGGCTTGGGGTTTGGGGGTTAGAGTGGCATTTGCTGCGAGGATTAAAACAGTTAGTTAATTATATTTTTCTCAGCCCTGGTCCACTGGTTGTCTTTGAAGCATTGATAAATGTCGCTACAGGCTTTGATGCGTTCTCTGGGCGTGGAGTTCAGGGTTTCACACTAAACATAAATATATATATATATACACATGTCACAGACCTTTATATATATATATGTTTGTTTATTTATTCAGATACATGTATATACATATGCATGTACGTATATCATTTTTGCTTACCCACACATAGCATATGCAAATGTTTACGTGTTTTGTATAACCTTCCACAACAACTTCCTGTGCAATGGACACCTCGCACACGTAGTGAAGACGGACATCCTTTCCGGTGCTTTGATTTGGCAAGGTTTCAACCTTAATTGGCCCCAAGGCCATAACACTTCCCCCAGTCCTGAAATCCT